ATATGTCAAACACTCAAGCAGAAAATACTCTCGAGAGGAAAAGAGAAAATTGACAGGGGCTTTTAATAATGATAATGAATGTCTATGTCTAACTATTATAAAAAACAATCCTCAGCAGATCTCCAAGGACCGTAGCGAGAGGAACTGGGAAGCCGTCTCTTCTTTCTGCGAAGCAGTGATGCTCGCAAGGGAGGAGGCGGAGCGCGTGGGGAAACTATCCTCCTCACGCCCCAGCCGCCGCAATAGGCGAGAATCCAAGCGTCGGGGATCGAGAGATAATCTCTGGCCACCGTAAGCGCGGGTCTGCGGACGACGGGTAAAGGTACCTCGCCGCCGGGTTTTTAGTTTGTAAGAGTCTGACACTCTCTCTCGCCTCACCCTGGGCGGAAGAAGTCATTTGATGATTTTCCTTTAACAAAAAAAGGTACATCTTCAGTGACACTGGTATACTACAAAACTTTGTACCTATTAAGCATGTAGTTTCATTGATGGGTTTTTAAAATAACTGCCTGGTCACAAGTCAATTTCACGGTAATCGGTCAAATGTTATTTCAGCTGTAGCAACAGTTATTTTTGTAAACTAACACGAGTGTTGAATAATGAAATGGATTCCACCATATTTATATTTCTTTTTACTTTAATAATTGTAAGAATAATTTGATATTTATTGAATATATTTAAAGTAATATTATTTACTTAATGTGGCTATTTGTCGACCTATTTGTTTGCATATCCAATGATATTATTTTTTTACTATTTTTATTAATATTTATGATTTGTTTCTTTAATTTTTACCAATACAAATAAAAAAAAACTAAATATTATGCGTACAAAGTCTTAAACTGGAATTAATAGAAGAAACAATATAAAATACTTCTTTCGATTTTGAATTTGGAATCCTTACTAAACTGCATACATTCAGCCAGTAATACTTATAAGGTTTTATTATTTTCAGAGTATTTTAAATATCAAGGCGATTTCTTTGGAAGATGCATTAAATTTGTTAGTGGTAAGTCATAATTATTTTATTAGGAAACTTTAATTATTACTGCTGGTGGTAAAAAAAAGTAATTAGGTATTTTCTAAATATTTCTTGCAAATAACGATACAGTCATTGAATAAACTGAGCATAGTTCTAGTCTTAAATCACAGGTTTTCTTGAGCCCACCAATCTCTGTGTTCGTGCACGCTGTTCAAGTATAAGCTGCCCGGCACGCACCCTGTAGTCCACTGGTGGACATCGCGTTAATAATTGCGCTGGTCGACGAGTAGACTTAGTCTAAAGTCTAGCTTAGTCCACGAATTCCTAGGGCAGCGCGCGGTCCACTCGGGATCCGCGCTCTAGCAACTCCTACTCAAACGTAAGGAGCGCATTCGACCAGCAAGTTGTCCCGGAATGGTCCATCCGCCTTTCGCGTGTGTAGGTCTGTAGGTCTTAAATCCGAGGCAATTTGGCGTCGGTACGGTGTTGGTATAGTCAGCGCATGTCTATACAAGACCATGTAAAGAATACTAGCCACAGGAGGCGTGTCGGTACGGAGTGAGTGGCTCTAATGAGCTGTGACCTTAAGTCGAGTCCCTTTCTAACTTGAAAGTTGAAACTAGTCTATTATATAGATATGATATAGATCTGTAGATCTATTCTCAGTTTGACCACGTAAATCGATACATTTAATAAGTTACTTTATTATGTTTCACCATAAAATAGATGAATTTATTATTCACAGAGAAGGAGTCTAAAAGAAAACAAATATGATGAAACTAAAGTAAGTTGAACTAATCTATTGGAAATTTCTTCAACAAGTTATGTAAGTTAGAATATACGTGCATTAGTCCTGAACTACTGCGCTAAAGAGGATATTACATAATTATTTCGCATTGAAATGCGTTTTATGAAAAAGAAAGAAAGTTAGTTAGGTACTCAAAAGATAGACTTTTGTTATAACAAAAAAAAAATTGTCCTTGAGGCTTCAAAGTCTTTTTTAAGACTATAAAGTACGGACTTTATTTCACAGTACAAAAATACGAATCCAAAAACAAAAAAAATATGTTAGAATTAAATTTTATTAACGAAAATTAGACATTATTTTTATAGGAATTATCTGTGAAGTCAAAAATTACGGGAAGTAATAAACAATTTTGTACTCTGACGCAATATATAGATCTCGTAAGTCGATTCTTTTGTTTGAAAAAGCCTTTTGATTCAATCAAAATATTTTCAATTTTTATTTTCGTATTTGCATAACAAATAATAATAGTGCAGACTGTTCACGATGTTGGTAATACAATTATTATCATAATGAAATTATTGATTGTCAAAGCCAATGGACATGTTCTATTATATTTCTTTAATTATTTTTTTCAGAGAAGAAGTTTTTACGAAGAGGATGATGATGATAACTTGAGTTACGTAAGTTTTATAGTCAGATTCCATATTTTTTTTAAATAGGTATTGTACAAACCTTTACAAGAATAGTAATCTATACTTTACTACCATAACAAAACGAAACAATATATGAATATGGGATTATCTTTTGCTAAAAAATATTATTATTTTTAACCTGCTTTTAATGTAAAAAATGTGAAATAAATTTTTTTTCATAAAATTATTGTAAGATTTTAGATAAATTAAATTACTGTTACATTTATTTTAATAACATAATTTATTATATAAAATATTTCTGTGACTGAAAATCACAGATAATAAATTCTTAGACCTCAACCTCAACAGTAGTTTCCAACTTCAAATTCATCCAAGTGTCAAAAACTGTATTTTTTTAAGTAATTTGTAAAAAACTCCAAATCATGACGTCACAGTATTTGTTTGTGTCAAAAAGCTTACTTATTTCTTAAGAATTAGATACAACGTATCGAAACTCAATTTAGGTACTGATAAATTCTAAAGACTTTATTTATAAAACACCAAATTTTTTTTTATTTATATATCACATGGATGAAGGTTACACAGACGATGAAGGTTAAATACTTTTCAATTGGTTTCACACTGGCCACAAATAAAAATCTAGTTTTAGAAAAAAATAACAAAATAATATTGCGTTCTTTTGTTTCTTTTCTCAATAATTAGTGGTCCTTTTTCAGTTTAACTCACAATCGGTGTTACGTTGAAATAAAATTTTATAATATTTGAATATATAAAGCGGTAAAAATATTAGTAGGTATAATGTAGTGTCTGTATTTGTTTTAGCGAAGAGGCTTTGTAAGCGTTGAAGAACCTGAAGATTATGTAAGTCATGTTTTAACAAATTAACGTTTACATAAATTATCTTTTCGTATGATATATGAATTTGGGTACTCGGTGGTCGCTGTGGCTGGGCAACCGACTGCAGCGAGTTCGATTCCCGTACGGAACAACACTTCGTGTGACCCACAGATGTTTTCCCGCACTTCCAGGTCTGGATGTGATGTGTATGTGAAATTGTATCTTTGTAACAGGAGAGGAGAGGAAATAGTAGGGTGTGGCAACGTTTTATTTTAAAAAAATCACTCTCAATCATTTTGCTACAGATAATACAGAAATATTGAAAAACATTCTCGCATCGTATAATGTAGTTTGAAACGCATCCGAGTCTTAATAATGTGGTAAGAATTTAAAAGGTGTTTTATTTTATTGTTTTTACAGAGAAAAAGTACGTTTTATCAATATGATCCCAATGGTCAATACAAAGCAAGTGTAAGTATCTGTTATATTATACGAAGTTTTTATTTTAAACTAATTTCCTGGCGAATTCTGCATCGCCTCGAAATAAACTATTATCTCAAATTGCAATAAACACAGTTTTGTTCCTTTTCAAATATTATTTAATTATCCTTATACAACAGTTTGTATGGAAAAAGAAATTGCGGATTTTTTGTTAAAAAATGTTTCTTCCTTTCCTTCTAAAGTTATTTTAATATGATTTATACAAGAAGCACCTTACATGGATATCATAAAATTTATATATAAAGTAAAATAACTATTTGATGTAAATTTTCATATTAAATTTGGAATTAATTAGTAAAACCGTTTTGGAGGAGTAAGGAGATTAACAATATGACACGATAATTTTATATACATATGACATTATAGATATAAGAACTTTTCCCATTATGTGATAATCAAAACAAATTGTAATCCAGTGTTGCACTTAGGAGGCTTCAGAATTAAATATAATTTTAAGGAAAAACTTGATTTTAATGGATCCTATACATCCATAGTAATAAAAAGAAATTCTGCTTTGCTTATGTCTGTGTAAATGTTACTAACACGTACCAACTAAAATAGCCGAACGAAGTTTTAATTTAATTTAGCTAGGGTTACAGATGTAAGTGCAATGATGCACCGCGGCCTGGGCCTGGAGCAGGAGAAGGAACCGGGGTAGTTTTTAGTCAGTATGAGTTTAGTGCGCCATCTCGCCCCGGGGTAGTTTTTAGTCAGTATGAGTTTAGCACTCCCTCTCGCCCCACACCGGGATACTTAAAACCATATTGAGCAAAGGCCTTTTCTCACTGGGAGAAGGTTTGAGCTTTAATCACCACGCTTGCTCAATGCGGGTTGGCGATTTCAAACTTATAATTTTATTATAAACTACCTACATTCGCGCGGTTTCACCCACTGCTCGGCTCCATTCGATCGTACCGTGATGTTTTATAGCCCATAGCACTCAGGAACATTGTAGCTATCTGTAAGTGAAAGACTTTTAGCAATCTGACCAGCGGTTCGAAAGATTACCCCCTACATATAAACTTGCGAATTTTACCTCTTTATAATATTAGTATATATTATAAGTCGATGTCTACCTTCACCGTAATTATGTCAGTGGTGTCCAAATAATCATAGGAACTGACATATAACTCGGAAAAAGTCACATTGGCACTTGCCAGGTTTCAAACCCACACCCTCATGCATGAGAAGCGAGCGCCTTTGCCTCCGGGCCACTACAACCGATGGTTTTTAAACCACGCGAAAAACTAATACTAGTTAAATTATTTAATACTTCCAGCGTCGATTGTATGACTACGCTGGGATGAGATTACCGATCATTGGATCTCCAACTATACCAAGTCAACTGCCCGAAGCTGAAGCCATTCTTCCTGGACACACGCTGATCAGACCAGCTCTAGGTATGCTGAAGTCTGCCGTCAAGTTTCCACATAAAGACTTGAACGACGGCGCTGGAGTTTACGGGAATATTGATAATTTGGGTATTACGTAAGTATTGAAACTCTAAAATTTATAATATAATCGTATATATTATTATATATTTATTTATCACTAGTTTCTTCCCGCGGCTTCGAGTGCTTGGTATGTCGATAAAACCAGGATATTATGTGTTAATCCAGATTATCACCTACTACTACTACGACCATAAATAAAAATAATTGCTAAAGATTATTTTTGTTTTCAGATATGGCGGTACAGGCGAACGAGTTTTGTATACTGGATTCAGAAGAAATAATGATTATTCACAATCTGTAAGTTATTTTTAAATCTCTAAACTCCAAACACTTTCAACTTCACCACTTATTAATTTACAGTTCAGTTTAGTTAGTACGGTTACCTGCATAATAGTCCATACATAGTTCTGTTTTTTCAAACATAAAGCACTTATCTTTAATACATAATGTAATACTGTTTAACCAAAAACAAATTTCGTTTTGTTTAGATACCAAGTGAATTGAAAAATTTCAAACCAAGGTAATTCTTCTACTTTATTTAAGTACTAAAATTTAATGAATACAAAATTTCTTCATTTTCCCGCCAAATGTATTGCAATCATTTTGCTTTGATTAAGTAATATTTTAAGCCTTTCTTCTTATAGAAGTAAACTTCGAATTTAATTTAAAAAGTGTATAAAATGTCAAAGACTGTTTACGCGACACAGGTTTTTATGCTTTTTAATATATTGGAAACTGCTGAGCCCATTTTAATGAGACTGAGCCATACATAGTACAATATAAAAATCAAGGTTTTACTGAGACTAATCAACAATTTAATACATTTTTACTTAATAAACTTTGTTTTTCTCCTAAAGATACGTAATAGCACTCGTGCGCAGAAAACCACGAAATCAGGTAACATACAAATACAATGATTACGATATACTTTGAAAATAAATGCTTTTACTATGAATTTAAATGTTTTTAATTTTAAAGCAAAATAAATATCCTTGCATTATTTAATAGTATTTAAAAACCTGTGTTAATTTTATTTTTTTGTTTATAATAGGAGTTTTGTTCATTGAACCCCAAGCGAACATGCACCTATTGTTTTTCATACTATTCGGGTAACTTAGCCGAGGTTTTTGGGTAAGCGCAATGAGGCACCGAGGCCTCGGCTTGTATCAGAAGAAGAGAAGGAACGGGGGATTTTTAGTCAGTAAGAGTCTGACACTTTCTCTCGTCTCCTCCTGGACGGGAGAAGTCATTTAATGATTTTCCCCTAACATATAAAAAAAAGTCGAAAAAAAATGGCAGACTGAATGGGAAAAAATATTTTTAGTATCATTGTATTAAATTTTAATTTAATACAAGGGTAAACCAGTATCATGCTTTCGAAAATGCGACAAGTTGGAAAGATAAAAAAAAAACTATTTGTCAATGATTAGAACCAAAAGCGATGTGAGTAGGTTGATTCCTTAATAATTCGTTTCAGTACATTTTAAAGACATCAGTTTCTAAAAAACGTCAATATAAAGGGATGAAGTTTACTTTAAGATTACTTATCTTAAGCGTAAATTTTATGGAAAGGCATACTTTTCCATAGACAATGTACTTTGTGGGTTAAAAATACATTCTTTATTCATTATTCCCGTTTCTATTCATCAATTGTTTTATTTGTACTTACAACATTAAATACTTATAAATAATTTTAAAATAAAATGAACTGCGTGCGTGCGAAGTCACAGGAATGAGTTCGAATGCCTGGTAAGTATTTTGTTGTTCACCGGGCAGCTTGAGGTGAGGTTACGTGTATTAGCAATCCCGCGGGCTACCATCATCCCGAGGGCTCCAAGGAGAAGTCACCGTTCCTTATCTCCGGCTTGCCTTTATTGCCTGGCTGGAGTGAACGATGACGAGGAACAGGTCTCCCACCTCTGGCTTGCCTTCACCTTCACCTTTGGGCAGATTGTCATCGTGCGTACAGGGATAGTCGCTAGTTTATGTCGCATTTTATTTAGAGTTAAGATTTCTAAAGAGCCTTTGCGCAGTTGGCTCGGGCCCTCATACGCCTCCCAAAAGAACTGGACCCTGTGGTTCCGTGATTGGTAAAGACACAGACTTATGTTTATTTTTCTACATTTGGATAGAAAAATACCATTTTTAAATTAAGTAGATGTGTATCTATACTAATATTGTAAAGCTGTAGAGTTTGTTTGTTTGCACGCGCTAATATCCGGAACTACTAGTTCGAATTGAACAATTATTTTTGTGGTTATTAGTCCTTTTATCGACGAAGGCTATGGTCATATTTATAGGTTACAAAACATCATACTATGATCTGTAAGAGCCGAGCAGCGGGTGAAAACACGCAAGAGTAGCTAGTAAATAATATATTTTTACAAAATATAATTTTCTATAAATAGTACGGTGCAATATCATGATTTTAAAGCTTCATTAATTCTTATATAAAATGTATAAATAAAAGAACATTAATGCATAAATTTTTCAATGGAACCACCATCGATCACTAATAATTCTTTATTAGTGATCGATGGGAACCACTTATAAATTTATTTATACTGTCATTTTCAACTCAGATTTTAACATAAATTATGAATTAATGTTTTTTCGTTCGAACATGTTTTGTGACTACTATTAATTTCACGCTAATTATTTTAAAAGCTATTAAAGTTATGACAAAATCAAGTTTTAATTGAACACGGACGTCAGTATGAACTGAAAAATTAAATGGACTTCACAGTAATAATTTTTGTTGTAACAATCATTGTAAGGCATTTTTCATTGAATTTAAGAATTTTACTTGACTACCTACTTAAATTGTACTAGAAGTTTTTTTTTTTAATTTGTAATGTGTCCGGTTGTTCTGTACAATAAAAGACGCGTCTTTCCACGGGAAATCGAACAGTGTGATAATCCTGGGACGGTTTCCTAATATAGGATTCAGTTCAAATTCCACTTTTTTTCATTAAAATTTCGCATATTTCGCCGATTTTTCATCGATAGTCGCGATTTTGGTAGGGCCTACTTACGCAAAGAAATTGATAAAATTTTTGCAATTCTATTACTGTATATTTAACATAATCTTTCTATTTTCTGTGATGTGAAAGTGTGCCTTAGTTTTACGCAGTGAATTAAATTAGTTGGTGCAGGATGTAAGTCGTTTTTAATCGGCCAATCTGGATGTCGTCATTGACGGAGACCTGAGAGACAAATGTTTAGCAATGGCTGTACAGAATAAAAGTTGCATATATTTTTCCATTGTTTGATTAAGGGTTAAATAAATATCATCAATTAACCAATGAATGTTGTTTATGACAATGAAGTAAGCAGAAACTAGGGAGTAGAGGATTTAACAGTCGTTTTAAACTGAATGCGGAAATACGTTGTAATGTTTCAGTTTTGTAGTTGTCTTATTCTAACTTGTAATGTCATAGTATCAATTTTTGAAACTGGAAGATAATTAAGAGTTCACTCAAAGTCATCAAAAAAGTATCAAGCATCGAAATTTGGATACCTAACTTCTCTTAAACTATATAGTTTCAGCATATATACGACTGCAATGGAAGGAAATCACACACAAACAGGTTCAGACTACATGAGGTAAGTAGTTTGATTCAGTCTTCAAACATTTATATAATTTCTATGTTTTTAAGTTACTTTTGTTTTCACGCAGCTGCTTTTTCCTACGGGGATTCAAACGTGATGTTATTTATGTGGCCTATACAAGAAATAATAATTTATGGTCATTAAATCATTCATCATCATCATCATCATCATCATAGTCTATAAGTGTCCACTGCTGAGGCTGAGCATAGGCCTCTTTTTACACGGAAAAGGTTTATGTATTATAAGAAATTATAAGTCCAATGTTTACCTTCACCGTATGTCAGTTGTGTTTTAAATAGTCATAGAAAGTACCTACATATAACTCAAAAGCAGACACATTGGTACTTACCAGGTTTCGACCCCACCTCTCATGCATGAGAAGCGGGTCCTTAACTTTCGGGCCACCACAACATTTGCAGTTTAAATTATCATTAAATATCTCTGAGTTTGGCAGTAATTGATACACATAAATTTATCAGTAAAAAGGTCAAAATACTCGGCAAAATTTATCTGTATTATTTAATTGACTTATTATTGATTAACGTTTATTTTTTTATATTTTTTATATTATTTATTCATCATTCATTAGGTTGCACAAATGGAAGACCTAATACAACATTATGAGAAGTTGTTGGAAGAAAAAGAAGAAAATAACTTATTCAATGAATTGATACAAACCCAACCTAAAATTGACGACGAATTGCTAAAATTTTACCAGCTTATGAATGACATGTAAGTTTAAGATAGTAATGTTTTTGAGGTAACTGAATCCCTGGTTGATTGAAAATATGTTATAAATGGGTAAAACTAACAATCCCCAAAAGGTAGGCAACCCAGTTGTTATTCTAGAGTTTAGAGTGTCCATTGGCGATGCTGGTTGCTTACCATCAGGCGACAGGCCTGCGGTTTTGCACCTTGACCTTTTTGGACCTTTTGAGGATTAGGGCTTTGGAGAAAAAAAGAAAGAGCTTTAAAATATTAATTAGGCAAGAATGAAATAAATATTTTCAGATATAAAAATCTAAAATAAAAATTAAACACAGGCGCACATCGAGTGTTTACGAGAGTTCAATAAGTGTAAGTTATTCAATTATTTTGTCTTTTTTTCTCTACCATTATCTGCTACTTACCTACTTCGACTTGCTTATTTCCCAGTTGGACGTCATCCTGACATGTCATTATAGTCCACCTTTGCTACCTGTTACCTGCCAAAGCCACCACTACCCAGGTTTCATGGGTGGGGACCTTTCTTACCTGTATTGGGGACATACACAGAAGAACTCTTAGCTTTTATAAAAATCCGAAGGTCTGGCTCTCACGGGCTCTTGCTCTATTAGATTTACACCAATCACTAGTAAACCAAAGTGTGTTGCTGAATATTCATGCATCAGCAACACTCTTTGGTGTTGTAGGGACTTATGGACGTTCACCTTCCGTGGACCATCCACTTTACTTTTTTGGGTACCAATGAAATATACATACAGGGTGTAAAAAGACACTTAACGAAGCCGTTAACTACGCATACTGCAGTTCTAACTAAGTAGCTTTACGCTAAAATTATCACTGGGAAACGATTTTTATTTTTAGGTATCAAAAAATAAAAATAAAAATTTATTGCGCGCAATGTAAAGCAAACGGGCTTCGTGTCATTGTGTGCGTAGGTTCACAGCTTAGCATGAAAACGC